GGATTTTTTAAACCAGAAAGCAATGTTCCCTTAAGTGAAAAGGGGAAAACCATACACTGCTTCTCCGTTTCACTAGTATTTCATATCTTACATACCCCAGCTCCAGTTAGAACTATTATTTTTTTGCATTCTTGCAGTAATTTCACAGCATCTTCAATTGTATTAATATCTTTTCTTTTTTTCCTTTTCGGTGGTTCTGAAAGGATATTAATGACAATCTGCCATAGTGTCATGTCATCCAGTTCAGGTGGAGGAATTGTTTCTGGTAGTAAATCTTTAAGAATTGTCCGAGGATCTGTGCCAATCATGAGATGTTGCTGAACAAAAGTATATGGACCTGTATGAAGGGGTAAAAAGACAGATCAAAACCATTTCCAAATAATTTTTAAAACCTCATTTTTTTATGTAATAGCAATAATGTAAGGTTTGATTTTTTTAACAAATTAAGAAAATGAAATTTAAAGTTATTTTACTCTCAGTACACTCTCAAAGTTAATGCTGTATGCCAATGTGATTAGAGCAATCTCATTAAGAGGAGGGTCTCCTTGAGCTCTAAGTATGTATTTTAAGAGTAAAAGGGTAAGAGGGGCTAGGGGATTTAGCTCAGTGGCACCACACCTGCCTGGCAAATGCAAGGTCCTGCATTCGATTATTCCTGATGCGGGGGTTGGGGGAAGTAAAAGGGGAAAGGGTTATAGTTCAGTGGTGGAACAAGCATTTAAGGATATATATACCCAGCTCTGATTCAATCCTCAGAACCAAAAAATAGAAAAAAGAATTTTTTTCTTCAAAGAAAAGACTCAAAACTACCTGATTAAGGTTGTTTTATTTGTGTGGTACTCGAGATCAAACCCATAACTTTCAAACTCAGGTACATCTTCAGCCCTCTTTTATCTTTTTTCAGACACGGTCTCACAGTCACTAAGTAGCCCAGGCTTGGCCTAAACTTGCAATCCTCCTGTCTCAGCCTCCCAAAGTGCTGGGATCACAAGTGTGCACCACCACACCTGACTTCAAAATAACTTTCTGGTTAAAATCTAGAAACATACGCTATAATTAACAAATGCATTTACAAAAGACATTACAGAAAAGATTTTACTAGTTCTGAAAGCCCATGATATCATCAAGGGCAGAGAAAAGGAAATGTATATATAACTACCATCTTTTAATAATTTTCCAGTAATAACCTTCAATTTCATCTTTACCAGTCTCTCAAGATGACACACTCATTGCTCATGTTTTTAGCAGTTAACATTCAAGTTTCACCCTAAACTTGCTAAGATCAGCTTCCGGGCTTCAGAAAATAAAAAATGTTATGGACATTAAAGAAGAACAAACTAAGCATCACTATGTTTAAACACTTAAGCCATTTGGAAATTCAAGAGCAAAGGAAAAAGATCACTTCAGGATAGCTATGGTATGCCTTTGGAGTAAAAATGTGGTATGAGTCTGGAGGTATAGCTTAATGTTAGAGCACTTGCCTAGCATGTACAAAACCTTGTGTCTGGTCCCCAGCACTGGGAAATAAATAAATAAAATAAATATATGATAATGTTCTCTACCTGAAAATAGGGGGGGTAAGGATGTAGTTCGGGGCAGAGAATGTTCTTAACATTTGAAAGGCTCCAGGTTCAATCCAAGGAAGGCAGGTAGAAAGAGACAGACAGAAAAAGAAAGAGAAGGCACAAACTACATTCCAAGAACTTTATCTAGGCACTGACAAAACAGCAGCATACAAGTCAGTCAACAACTTGTCTTGGTATAGTGTGATGGCACATGCCTGTAATCCCAGCACTCGAGAGGTAGGAGAATGGCTACAAGTTTGAGGCCAGCCTAAATTACCAACTAAACTACCAAGTGAGATACTGTCTCAAAAGACCTCCCTTCAAAAACAATATGTTGGGCCAGGACTTAGCTCAGTGGCACTGTGCATGCCTTGTAAGCACAGGTCTTGAGTTTGATGTCCAGTACTGCTAAAAAAAAAAAAAAAAGAATCTCCTGTCCATTTCTGCACAGGAAAATAAAAAGATGCAAGTCAGGTGTGACGGCAGCACACCTGTCATCCCCACACTGGAGAGGCTCAGGCAGGATTGCCATGAGGTGAAGGCCAGCTTGGGCTGGCTACACAATGAGTTCAAGGCCAGCCTGAATGTTAGAGCAAGACTTTGTCTCCAAAAAAAAAAGAGCTTGCTAATAAATGTTAAAAAAAATAAAAGAATGAAAAGAGAGGAAAATACTCTAACTGGAGAAAGAGCATTTCACAAGAGGCTACGAAGAACCTGAAATGTAAGAAAGACATAACTGTTTTTCAGTTTCTTTGAGGCAGAGTCTCATTATGTAGCCCAGGCTGGCCTCAGATTTTTGGTGATCCTCCTGCCTCAGCCTCCCAAGTGCTGGGGTTATAGGCATTTACCACCATGCCCAGCAGGACCTATCTGTTTGAAAAGTTGATCAGCTTCCATGGACTTGAGCTGCTTAAACAAAAACCGAGCCAAGGATTAGCTCAGCTGCACCACACCTGCCTCAAAAGCACAAGGTCCTGAATTCTATCCCTGATACCAAAAACAAACAAAAAACAAAAACCAAGGCCTGTCAGTTCAACTCAGCAATAGAGTGCTCAGCCCTGGATTGCTCCGTATCACACACACACAAAAGAAAAAATAGAAAGGAAAAATTACTATATACCTAAAAAATCTCAATAGGTTAAATAGGGTAGAGAATTAAAAGATACAAAATACAAAGAAAAGCCAAAAGTGGTGGGTGCAGGCTTGTAATCCCAGCACTCTGGGAAACAGGGATCTCAAGTTCAGCCCAGTCTAGGCAATTTAGTAACTTAATAAGCAGCTGTTTCCAAATTTTAGAAAAATTTAAAAAGGGCTGAGAATGTAATTCAGTGCAAAGGTCCTCGATTCAACCCCCAGTACCATAAAAATAAACAAAGCAGAATATACAATTTTTTTTAAAAAAAGTGTTCCCCAGCTGCACCTCTGACCCATACCTATCCGAGGCCTTGGAGTCCAGTCACTAGAGCTGGCATGCGAAGCCCTGTCATCCTCATCACTTTCACAGGAATGAAAGCCATTGGTGATAATGTCATCACTTAACAGAAGGTTATCTGCAAAGAATTAAAAAGTAACTCATGGCTGCTGAAACAACTTGCATGCACAATGTACAAAGATACGTAATGGTTATAATATAACCACGTTCACTGAATAAAGCATTTGACACTTGGCCAGGTGTGGTGGCACAGACCTGTAATCCCAGCATTAGGGAGTCTGAGGCAGGAGATCACCAAGAGCTACAGGTCAGTCTGGGTTACATAGTGAGTTCAAGGCCAGCCTGACCTATATACCAAGACCCTGTTCTCACAAAAGGAAAAAAAAAAAAAATCACTCATGCTGCATATATAATAAAATGCCTATGGATGTATGCTTGCATTATTCATATGAGCAGTTTCATCTTTGACAATTTTCAGAATCGATGTTTTGAGTGCACCAAAATCTAGCGAAACCACACAGGTGGATTAGGATAGTCATTCAAGACTGCCTGCCATAGGCTGGGGATTTGGCTCGGTGGTTCCGCCTCCTGCCTCTAAAGCGCAAGGTCCCAAGTTTGATCTCAGGTACCAAAACGGGGGCGGGGGGCTGCTAGTACCATACAAGACTCTGAGTTCTATAAGGACACTTTTTTTTTTTTTGGTACCAGGGATCGAGATCGAACTCTCCTTGCGCTTGCGAGGCAGGCGGCGCAACCATTGATCTAAATCCCCGGCTGGGTTCCATAAGGAGAGAGGATGCATGTCATTTGCCAACAAGAGACTTTCTCCAAAATGCTGTTCAAATAAAACCCCCAGGAGTTTGAACTTTTACGTAACATTAAAAATACTTAGGTGTCTTTGTATTACGTATTAATTTCCTGTATTAAATTGTTTCTTGAAATCACGGGCTGTTTTACTCATCCAGTTCCTAATGCACATGCTTTCTCAAAATTGGCCAAATAGTCCAATGAATGGTTGTGACACAGATAACCACAGACACACACTCATCTGGGTCAAAAACTCCAGAGATGAAAACATTGCGTATATTAAACAATTACACTTAACCTAAAAATAAGAACATGATTGGAAAACAATATTCGCTGAAGTATACTAAAAATACTGTCCCTCTTTTCCCTGTTAACTACATCATAAAAAGGTAAAAATCTCTGTACAATGTTCTTGAAATGCTGCAGGCTGTGACTTTTAGAAACACCTTTGCTCTTTAAAAATTTCAAACTTCAAGTTTGGGAATAAAGGCTGAAAAAATTAAAAATTTGCACAGGTATCAATTTGCAAAAGGTAGATCACCAGGACAGCCAAAAGTTGCAAGCTTCACAGTACGTTGGGAAGAAGGGTGCAGAAAGGACAAGCTAGCAAGCAACCCTTAACAAAAGCAATATGCTAAAAGAACAAGAGAAGAGGGAAAACTTATTTTAAAACCAACTACGAAAGCCTCCCGAACAGGCGGCTACGCAGAGCGAAGGCCGAGCCCGCGGGCCACGGACCGGGGGAGCAGAAGGCCAGCGGGCGGGCGGGAGCCAGGTGC